TCCTCCGGCATACCTTATAGAAGAATTAGCTTGTTATATTTCTTAGTCTATTCATTTCATTGATGGCGTCATTATTACATGGCCGAGTCCCAGTTAATTTCGAACAGTCTAATATTTTTTTACAATGCAAGTAAATATGGGTTCTTATAACCTACTACACCATTTATTGTTTTCTTTTTAGAGTCAGGAAGTAGGTATTTAAGGGTAGAAGCTACATTTAATTTTTTTTCTAAAAATATATTTTTTTTATTGAAGCCAACCTTGGATGTGGCATCTATTTCATGGTGGGCCTACCAACTGCCTCTCATAAACGAATGCGTATACAAAATTGCGTGTCCCTGCCAATCCTGGCAACAGCATTGGGTCACGTTTATGATTAACATACATTGTCATCGGTTCTGGACCAGCATGCAAAATTTCAGGTCAATCGGATACCGAGAAGTGGGTCAAATTAAATTTGCAAGATTTGTTAACATACATACAAGTCAAGTTAAATAAAAGCTTTCAATTAAAAATGGGGTTCCTTTGTGTTCACATTGTTCATGAACAGTATAAAATGAAACGTATTAAAAAAGCACTCTCAAGTGGACATCTTATTTGAAATGTATTGTTTTGAATACGTTACAATGGATCAAGTATCGGTCAGTTCTATCATATTTTCATGAAATAAATAACACGCTTTTATTAGCTTCATTTGTTTGTTTGTTTGAAATCGACTCCTTTGGACTCGATATTGACTGACTTCAAACGGACAGAAGTATTTTATACCGAAATCGGTGACAATACAATAATTACATATGTTTATTTATAAATTGATGGATGTAGCCGTTACTACGTGGTACGAAATCATAATGAAGAAATGAAAATTGAAACTTTCTATGTTTTTCACCACTTATATTTGTAAGTAACGTTACTACAGTTTCGTCCTATAAGGACATTTTTAATCTTTTTTGTATATTATGTTTATTGTATAAGTTTGAAAAAGTCCTTATAGGACGAAACTGCAGTAACGTTAGTTACAAATGAAAGTGGTAAGAAAGTTTCAATTCTCATTTCTTCATTATCTCATTATCCTGATCAGGATCGCCGTGATTGAATAATTTCTTCACACAGTCTGTGTGTGTGAGAGCAAGTGAGACAACTACACTGTCTGTGCATGCATATATGTTTAATTTAAAACAAAGGATATAACGCATTATTATATAGACGAATGTCCCTTACAACATTTTTTATTTGACAAATTGGCAAATTCATCATTTTTAGCTCTTTACGGTTAACAAACGTTCAACTCTTGATTCAATTAGATTTTTAGGTTATTGACAAAAATTTATTAGATGATATGCTAATTTAACAGTAGTAGTGGTCACGGGTTAGGTTAGTCACGGGTGAGGTATCCCTGAATTTGCCTGAAATTCGAAGGACCTATGACCACCTTATTCGACATATAGGTTTTGTCTTAAAGAATAGGATGACATTCAATAAGTGTAATGGTTAATTTCATCAAAAAATGTCTGTAAATCAGTATATATTACATATATAGTACTTGACCTTGTGAGTATAGAACTTCATATATGTATTGTATGATCCATACTAAGTTGTTTAAGGTGGACCTTTCTAATTACTGATTGCCCGTAAAAAATTGTTTCGAATGATTTCACAAAATCACAAATTTAAGCTATCGTTTGATATCATTATGCTCTCAATTTTTTCAAATATTGGACATATTCTTGTTTTTTATATCAGAATATTGACAGAATATTACAGATATAAATTTCGCCATAAAATGAATGAAGAATCTAAAAAATTAGATAAAAAATCAACAACTATCTTTTCAATACATTATTTTATTGAATCAATGATATTCTACTCATAAAACTTGAAGTATATGAGAGTGTATAATTTGTCAAACTATACAACGAATGCGTATTTCACTTTCATTTTATTTGGACATTCAGTTTAAGACTTTTTTAATTTTCACGCTACTTCCATTTACCAACAAATTTCTTGTTAGAATCTGCAATCGTATCAGTTCTCTTCTGGTGGGTTTTCAAGTACCTTAGAATGACATTTGTTCGATTTCCGTTCATATATAACATGTGAGAGAAAGTGAATTATATCTAACACAACAGCTGTGGTACGTATGTAGTATATAGAAAAATATATTCTGATCGATAATACGTGTTGTTTCTTGCACACTTCTCGAATGATTTGCAAAATTATANCATCAATAAATATTCCTAGGAATTATGAATTTTTATTTTCTAAAGTTTGTCCGGTTAGACTGAAATCTTCACAGAAGGTGCTAAAGATAAGTACGTTCGATTTATTCGTATTAAAACGTAAGTAATTGGAATCACACCCATTTTTTACCATTTCGAAGCCATTAGTGATATTTTTTTACAATTGCTGAACATTGTTTTCATGCAAGAGGATGGTAGTGTCATCTGCAAAAATTGTAAAAGTGGAATGAAAGCCAGATCATTTAAATACAAAAGAAAAAGAATTGGACCTAGAATTGATGAAGATTCATTTCATTTCGTGTAGCTTTCCTGATGTATGTGATGCATTAATGTTATTTGTTACAATACCTGTGATTACAGCTAGTGGTGAAATATCATTTTCGAAACATAAATTAATGAAAACCTATTTAAAAAACTCTATAGTATATTTTATGGACATTTTTTTCATGACAGAAGATGGTAGTGTCATTTGCGAAAATTGTAAAGTTTCCTCTGATTGGAATGAAATCCAGATCATTTAAATACAGGAGAAAAAGAACTGGCCAAGAACTGATGAAGAATCATTTTATTTCGTGTAGCTTTCCTGAAGTATGTGCTTCATTAATGTTATTTGTTAGAAGTTACAATACCTGTGATTACAGCTAGTGCTAAAACATCATTTTCGAAACATACATTAATAAAACCATATTTGAGAAACTCTATAGTAGGTATATTGTCTATTAAAAATTCTATGACCCGATTTTCAAACTTTGAAGATTTTATTATTAATACTTTTGCGGAACAGGACTTTTGCAGCCGAAGCTTTCAGTGTCACTATTTCCCGAGTTTGAAGGCCACGGATTTTTGGAATTTCTTCCTGAAGTTTCTCTAGCTGGCGCGAGCTTCCTCAGAGTTTTATACATCCTGAGTTAATGTCTCCGATGATTGGATATTACAGCTGCGTAACGCGTATTTATATTGACTCATCAGGTAGTTTGGTGTACTAATACCTGATCTGGCTTAGGTAAATTACATGAAGTGTGTTTATGTTGATTATGGGAAAATACCTGTAACTACCTGTAAAATTGTCAATAACGTTCGTTGACCCTCTTCTATCTGTCGTCATGCTGCTGGATATTCTTAAACTTGTTTGAATGGGATTACATATACAATTGAGGTACACAGCTTCTTCTTTTCTGTGTGTTTGTGGATTTCTATTGTCTCCCATACCAGTGGTTATGGTGTTAGCAATTAACAACTCTGAATTGAAACCAACCTTGTGGCTACGTTACGTGGATGACACCTTCATCATCTGGAAACATGGAAGGGGTGCTCTGAACCTTTTCCTAGACCATTTGAACGCTCCACACCCAAGCATCAAGTTCACCATGGAGACTGAACAGGAGCAGAGGATAGCATTCCTAGATATAGTAATCGAACGATATGCTGCTACACTAACCCACAAAGTGTACAAAATATCCACACACACACGGATAGGTACCTGCACGCACTGTCGAACCACCATCCTAGTCAAAAGAGAGGAGATCAAAGAATATGTGGACTAGAGCATCTGGAGGAAGAACTAGAACATCTTCAAGTGACCTTGAGATCGAATGGATACAGTGCCTCCGAGATCAGAAAAGCCATGAAACGGAAGAGTTCTACGGCTCAAAACGGGGTCTCAGATAGTTGCACGCGCGTATCTACCTCATATTCCTAGGGTCACAGACATAATTGAAAATCTCTCGGAGAAACACAACAGTCATCGGAGATAGTAACCCAGGATAAATAAATGTCTGAGAAAGCTAGCCACTCGCGCCAGCGAAACGTCAGGAAGAAATACAAAAATCCACGACCTTCAAACCCGAAAAATAGTGACACTGAGGAGAATTTTATTAATAAATATCTTGTTAACATCAAACTACTATTACAATAAAAATTATCAATACCTACGCTTTCGAAAATGAGAAATGAAATTGAAATGGACACAACATTACTGTTGGGTAACTATATCAGTGATTTATTGAATGTATATTACAATGTGGCGATTTTTCTTAGGGACCCATCCAATGAATTTTCCAGGACCTCTTTTACGCCACTGACTTTAAAGCACAAACCCTTGCTGAACTGTTCTTGACTGTGAGTTTGAAACTTTGTTTCTGAAATATCTGGGTATATTTCTTTTTCTGTTCCAAATGCACTCTGCAATAAGAAAAATCACGCCCCCAACATGTCCCAGGATAAGAATGACGAAAGCCGTAGTCAAGTCAACCAATCTGGCGCTCTGGTACATCTTTTTCTTGTCGCACTTCGGAAGATCAGGGTGAATGTGGTTGTGGATATACTTGTATACTCCGGTTTCATACATTTTGATGATACTGGAAAAAATATACGAAATTATTATTAAAAAAAAGTAACAACAATACAGAACCCAAGTTGAATCTTTGCGGACGTCGAGTTGACTTTAATAATTTGAATCTGATCGAATAGATGTAATTTGAAAGTTTGATCATAGATTTTAAAAACGAAGATTTATTTAAAAAAAACATTGTCATTTGATGTAAGGCTTTGAAAAGGGGATATATCAACTGAACCTTTGAAATTAAAATTGTAGTTATATCTCATCAGTTCAAGTATAAGTATAGTGGATTTATTTATATGGAGTCTTTCAATAAGCGCGTGATATATCATCAATATTTTTTATTCGTTTGAAAGACCTATTGATGCCGTTATGTGTGTAATAGAACATCCTTCGAATGTCCGCCACGACTGCTCTGGGTGGAGCGCATCCGACTCCGCCACATAAATCAGGATGAATTTGACCCATGGCATGGGTTATGTTGGCTTTGAGGATCGCTGTAGTCTGTGGCTCTTTCGCATACACCTGCGACTTAGGAAAACCCAGCAAGAAAGTCTAATGGGGTTGAATCGCACGATCTCGGTGGCCAGTGCACGTCACCTCCATGTGGAATAACCCTGCTCTCGATTCGCTCGTGCAGAATATCCAGTATGGCATGAGCTGTGTGGCACGTAGAGCCGTCCTGTTGAAACCACATGTCGTTGGTGTCCAGATCATCCAATTCAGGCCAAAAGAAGTTGGTAATCATCAACCTAAAGTACTCATCGTTGACAGTGATGACTTGGCCAACATCGTTCTCAAAAAAATATGGAACGATGACGCCGCCAGCCACACCAAACAACGTCTTTTTCGGCATGCATTGGACGCTCTTGGATCTCATGTTGATTGGTATCGTCCCAAATTCGATGAAAATTAGGGTCAGTTGCCAACAGCTCTAGATCTGTTCACTTTGTATGGGTGCAAGCCTAAGTCACGACGCAAAATTTGCTAAGTTTTGATCTGCAAAAGGCCTTGGATTCTCCTTGACACTCTCACAGAGCAACACCTATTTTGTTAAACAATCTTATTATTTGCACGTGTTACTGAATGCTATATCCATCCATGGTGTTTGGCGAAACATACTGAATAAATGACAACTAATTTGACAGATGCAGTTTCAACAAGTTGGCCGTTATCAATTGTCAAAATCCCTGTTGGAAGACCCTATATAAACTACTCTCTGAAGGTCGTAGTATTAAAAAAAATCAAGTAAATGTGAGAACCTTGAGAGTCAATCCGACAAACCCGGGGATCACTGAATTTTTAGGTGACAGAAGACCAACATATTTATTGAATTATTAAAGTAACACTTCATTGTGATATTTTCACTGTTAGGAATCATACGTTACAAGGCAAGACCTCGTTAGTCCTTAGCTCGCACATGTTTCTTTCGACTTTTTCGAGTTGTTGTTCGTAGGGGGGGCGATAGCTGGTTAACGGGAAAACACAACAGAACAGAACAGTTTACTAAACAAAAGCCTCCTCAGGCGTGTGTATACAACTGTTTCACTATACCTATGAGTCGCGACCCACTAGTGGATCGCGGGAGCAATTTGGGTAGGTCGTGGAACCAGGTTGAAAACACTTAATGCTTTTGAATTGTTTTTCTCATTTTCGAAAAAGGCTAGGGGGGAGTATCCAGTTCTTTCTAACATATCCTCAAAAGACCTGATGGGATTTTCAACCACATATTTGTGAGAGGGCATTCTCCACTTTGGTATATTTAAAAAATGAATATAGAAATAGGCTTAGTGTGAAAAGTGACCTGCGTTTAAAGCTTTCAACTTTTAACCCAGATATAGAATCTCTTGTAAATCGTGAGCACCGGCTCCACAAGTCACATTAATTACATAAGTCTAATTTTTACATTTTTGTTATTTTTTTAGTTTTAAGATTCTGAATTGAACTTCTTTTTTCGTAATGTATTTTATCTTCAATTATGCCATCTTTACCAATTTCTTTCAGAGGTTTATTTCTCAATAGTGAAT